TCTTTATTTCTTGACAAGTAGGGCAGGGCTGTTCAATCTTTTTATAGCCCTGTGTACATATTGAGGAACATCTAGAAAGAGAACGAGCAAAACTGTTCTGTAGCAGGTGCCAGCTTTAACTACTTTGGAGAAATTATGATGCCAATGGAGGGGTTGATTTGCAAGCCGTTTCACAGCAGTAATTCATTTTCAAAATCAAAAATATATATCCTTAATTTAGCAGTAGGAAAACATTTGTGATATGTACAGAACAGGTTCTTCTTTGTTGTCTTTTTTGGCATTAGTAATACAGTATTTTTAACAAGGCATTGTACAACATATGATTAATATTTTATTACCACAAGCTTGGGATGGATTGAGGCTAAAGGTGATAATATTCAAGGTGTGTATCGGTTTTTACCATATGGCTTGACGCATTTTAGAGCTTCAGTTAGCCATCTGCCACATTAACATTTTTACAATATAACTACATTTTTGTGTACTTGAGTTTAGTGCTGTGTGTGTTCAGATGTTAGCACCCTAGGGTGTTAACATATTGCAGACATTATTCTGTCATCTACTTAAATAATGACATCAAGAAATTATAGATGTGTACTAGAGATTAATTCTTCATCTTAAAATGAAATGGCTCTGTTAATATAACTACAGTACATAGCTTTAGACCCTTGTTAAGTTTATTTGCTCAAAATAACTGATTCAGTACAAGATTCCGTTATAACTGGAAAATATGATTATTTCAACATAATTTTAGCTCATTTTCTAATATACATACTGTAATTGTTAGACATAAATCTTTGTTTGCCTTGCTGTGACTAAAATGTGTGGCAATACATTTTTTCTCTTATTCCATATTGATCACATTTTCTTATGTTCTCTCTAGCTTGGCTAGAGAGAAGACATGTCTTATCTGGTAGAAATGGATGGCCCAGATCCCTTCCTGTCAGGATTCAGGCCTAGTCATGAATTAAAAATATCATAGGTTGCTCTGAATCCTTTCATCAGAGTTGACACAGGGAGTGTATCCTTTTGATCATTGTAGATGTCTTGGTGGCATTCATTGCAATCAGTCATGGTATCCTGGTGAATCATCTAAAAAAGTTAGGAGTCAGAGACACTGTGCTTCAGTGATTCTATTTCTACCTGAGGGGAGGAGGAATTAAAGTTTCCTTTCTTTTATCATGAGAAACCATAGCTCTTGAAGCCATAACTCAGGGGTGTCAAACTGGCGGCCCGCGGGCCAGACACATCACATGGAAGCCACGCCCACCCTATTGCCAGCAATGGCAAAACCGGCCCGATATGTTGCACGACGTCACGTGACATTGCGAGTTTGACATGCCTGCCATAACTGTTCCAGTGTCTTATGCCACAGGATTTGATGTTCTTTCCTATGTTGTTTAACATTTTGACAGAACACACTAAAAGTTCCTTCATGTGAGACTTAGGGGAAATGGATTATTTGGCGAGTTTTCTCTGTTGTGATTTGTAATGTGGTCAAAACAACTCTTTCTCACCAGGCTTTTAACATAGTTCGTTGCTTAATGACTTCCATCTTATGGTGGGTTATTTTTTATTATTATATGCTGTTTTTATGAGTTTATTCTATTGTACAGTTCCCAGAATTTCCCGATTGAGTTAGGTTACAAAGACAGTAAATAAATGAAATACTATTTATATATTTTATCAGAAAAGACAAACAAGATATTATAAGCTATATAAAATATCTGTTCTTTCACATACATGTATAGAAATCTTTTAAATGCTTACATATGTATAAGTTCATGTTTGTGTGCATACCATTGAAGCATTTAACAATTGTATATTTGTGCATGAAGAAAAACAATATTAACCTCTTAATTTCAATAGTTTAATTGCTTTCTAACATAAGATACACCCTGTATAATCATTTGCATGTATAGTCTTAATTTTTTCTTCTTCATGAAATCTTACTATGTCAGTCCACACACTGGCTAGCCCAAGTACATCACAGTAAATTGTTGGATTCATTCCTGGATCTGCACTCATTTCACAAAAGGTTCTTACAAGTCTATGGAACCTCACTATTAAGCTGTTAATCTACTTGAAAAAATAAATCCACTACCGTCTATGACATTTGACATAGTCCAATATACATTTCATGGAATTTACCCTTAAAAAACTGTACATAAAAATTGCAGAATACAATTTGAAATCACATTAGTGAAGCATCTTTCTGCCAGGCAACTGCTTTCAACCTTATCCATTACTGAGCCTCATAATATGATTTATGGCACCAGTGGGGTACACGGTTTACATTGTTGGGTCCTGATCCAAAGTTACATTGAACTTAAATAAGTACCTAATCATGGGCATTAAAATAATGACAGGTATCCAGCTTTAATTTTTGTTTCCTTTTTTTTATAAATTTACAGAAGTTCCATTTGCTTACTGGGGACTGTTTTGGAAGCGTGCAAAGCTGTATCAAAGCTATATAGGCAGAAAGAGAGAAGACTGTATTGCCTTTTTTGTTTTGCATGTATGAACCACCAGTTCCTGTTGGTTTGGTGTAGGGATGAAAACAGAAAGGAGCAACAGTAAAAAGAGATCAGCTACTCTTCCCGAACTCTTGAAATTTGGAAGCATTTTCTTGCTTGATGCAATTGATCATTCAGGAGTTTTGTATCAATTGCAGTTTCTGGATCATCTCCAAAGGCAAATTCACATAGAACACATTGTAATAGTCTAGTTGGGCAATGATCAGGACAGGAGTTACTATCTTGATCCAGATACGGTTGTAACTACTATGTTAGCCAAGCTGAGCAAAGACTGCCCTGACTCTGGTTCCCAGGTACTGTTCACAAACCAACTCTTTCAGGAGAATCTCTGTATGATTTAATCTGAGCTTGTTTTCCCCCATTCAAATTCCAATAAGTTTTAGATACTCATTTCATTCAGAACTTCAGTGGCATCTCTGCTTTATGCCAGGGTTGGGATGAATGACTGGATATTATAGGTATATTGATAAAAATTCACCCTGAAGTAGCAAATGATCTTCCCCAGTACTTTCATTTGAATGTTAAATAATGTAGGGAGAACAATGAATCCTGAGGAAGTCCATTTTAGAGTTCTAAGGAATTCAACATCAAGAAGAAATGGCTATTAGGTTAAGAAAGGAACCACCATAAAACAATATCCCCAAGTCCCAACATCTGCAGGTGATGCAGAAGACAATGGGGTTGAATGCTGCTGAAAGATCTACTAGATACTACTACTAATTCCTTTTTAATAGCTAAGTATTGTTAGCCACCAAAAGTGCATAAACACACCATTTTTCTTTCCCTTAAGAAATTGCAGCTTGCCCTATCCTTATCTATAGGCTGTCAAGAAGGGCTGTTGCCCTTGTATTATATCTCAGGGTATTTCTTTATCTCTCTTGTGTAAGTTTATTATTTATAACTACAGAATACAGATCCTGTCTCCAAAAATGCAACTTAAAACAAATTGGGGAAACTTTCTTGATGAGAGATTACAGCCAAGAGTTCTGTTTGCTGCACAAGTCTTAAGTCTTAAATTGAAGGACAGCCTTTCCCTTTATCATGAGTGGAGTGGAATTCCTTGCCCTAAAGTGATTCTTTTATGGATGAAAGATTGTTTCTCCTAGATTATGCTAACAGATGATCATATAATTAGTTGTGTTAAAGTCCACTGATTTCATTTACATCAAAGCATTCCCCAGCAGAAATCTCTTCTCCCTGTTCTTTATCTACTGGGGAAGCTATTCTTAAACTTGTTCTGCTAGCCCCATGTCCCTGCAGTAGCTCCATTTCATCATTGTTTAATGACTTGGATCCAGACTTTCTATAAGTGGAATTTCATTCACAAAGCACTTCCCCTGGAGGAAAGAGAACCTAATGTTTGTTTTGTTCCGGCTCTTGCAACTATCTGTGCTAAATGAGAAGCTTCTACAGAGGGCTGGGGAACCATATTAAATGAAACTATATGTAATGAAAGAGAAATAAATGAGAATTGCCTTTGTTCTCTTTCTTTTATTCTTTATGCAAATAGAACTGGAGATGTCTTAGAGGAAAAACATACTGGAGGGAGCTTGCTTTCAGAGTTTAACTTAAGGTATAGGCATTAATTTTGATATTCATTTGAATGTTTGGTCCCTCATCTTCTAGAAGGTTTCATTGATATAAAGGTATTCTGTTTTGGAGAGGGGGAAAATAAGCCTAAATGTAAAAAGCCAGATTTGTGCAACAAACGGTAGAATGAAAAGGGCTGTGTCCTTGCTGATCATGATTAACTCTTTTTTATCAGTTCCCAGTATCCTTTACATTGAGTGGCACTTCCAGTTTTTGATCATTTTTTGAAAAACAGAAAGATAAATCCATAGACTAGATTAAAGTTAAATCTACCACATGAATGATGCTGAAAGCCAGGGCTTTTTTTCTCATAGAATGCCCAAAACGGAGTTCCGGCACCTTTTTTAGATGGAACCTTGTAGGGTAGGCAAGGTGGGTTGTATGACGTGTGTGAATTCGTCACCTTTATTTTTTTACAAAAAAAGCACTGCTGAAAGCTAACCTTTCTCCCAACTAACTTTTCAAGAAAAAGTTCTTAAGCATACGTGCAATTGATGAAAAACAGAGAAGCTGCTGCTGTAGGAAAAAAACCCTCTTAATGTGTAGCCACTCTTGAACCGCTTTGTTTCCTTGAAAGTTTAGGTCTGCTTAACTATAAGCTAATAACCCTGAACTATTACTGCTTTTTTGTGTTATTTTTTTTCTTCTTGTATGGAAAGTACCAAATTGTTTATTGTTTTAATTGGTTTGGTTTCTTGAATTCTTTACTTTACTTACCAAACATTTTTAATATAAATTTTTACTATGAAGAATATTTTAAGAATATCTCTCTTTATAGGTGCTCTTATTTATTTATTTATTTATTTATTTATTTATTTATTTATTTATTTATTTATTTATTTCTCATAAAGTTTCTGATATCGCTTTATTTTGCAGCTGGATCCCGGGCTTCATACACAAGTCAGCACAGCCACCTGGGCTCGGAACTAAGGGCACTACAATCTCCAGAGCATCACATAGATCCTATTTATGAGGACAGAGTGTATCAGAAGCCCCCTATGAGGAGTCTCAGCCAGAGTCAGGGAGACCCTCTTCAACCAGCACATACAGGCACATATCGCACTAGCACAGGTAAGTGGAAATGCAGGTTGTTTTGCTTCTTGCCTGGGTAGGTACATTGCTTTAAATGACAACTAGCTGTTACAAATAAAGTGACTGAATTCACCTGTGGAAAATTTTGAAATTGTAAATGCATCAATAATTCCAACAAAGTGCTCTATTTATCTTTACCTTGTTGTCTAGCATTCTTCCCTTGATTGTTAATTTGCTGAAGGTGCATAGAACATGACTTTGTCATGTCATTAATAGATCATTTGCAATGGGATTGTTTAATAATTTGGAGAATGGGCAAATTAATGAGGCACTGAGCATTGAGCAATAAATTTCTCACTTCATATATATATATATACATATATGCATGTGCTCATCCATTTATTAATTTTTTTCTGTCATTCCATGTAAAGTAACAGAGTATTACAGTCAAACTTACAGTACCATTGATTCATTTGTAATGTAGAAATGCATGATCATATATCAAACATGTTGGTATACCTTTCTTAACTGGGAACTGTTCACTTCAGTCAAGTAAAATAACTATATGTAAAAAACGCATAAAATGTTATAACTCTGTATGTAAAAACAGTAACCAAATCAGTAATGGTCCTAAAAATGTGAAAGAATCTTACATTCACACCAGTCAAAACCAAAATTGTTTTTATGTTAACATAAAAAGGATTAAAGCTAGATGTTATTGTCCTATTATTCATTTTTATTTTATATTTCCTTTATAAGGATGAAATTTGCTCTGAGTTCAAAGGAGAGCACTTGTAATACCAGAAAATTGATTTGATTCTACTAAATTCCAAACAGTCTTCTCTGTTGGAGACACATCTCTATGCTTTCATTTTTCTAATCTTGGTCTTCATGCTTCCTACATGTGGCAGTTCAGTAGGTGGATGCAATTAATGCCATTCCTATTTTAGGCAGGCTTGGATATCTTAGAAATTTCTTCCTTGAGGTTGTTAGTTTAGGTACAGTTCATAGTTCTTCCATGATTTTCAGTCTCATGTTTTTTCACAGACACTTAAACCATCTCCCCAGAATTGTACCTTTAGTATCATACTGAGTATTAATATTCCAACCACCCCATTGTACAATATTTGACATTCATATTTTTAACATGCAGGGAAATAGCCTTTTTGTTGTTCGTGATTCCTAATGTTAGAGTAACCATTAAAGTCTCCTTCTTACATTATATCTTAATATCCTAAACATGTATCTCAAAAGTAAAAGGCACTGTACTAGGAGAGAGGAAACACATTACAACATCCTGTTGGAAAGTCAATAAACTTGTTTTGAGCAGTAAGAAATTCACAAGTGTGGGTTTTTTTTAACATCTAAATGTTTGCTAGTTTAGGCAGATGTAACAATTAAGACACTCTTCAGTCGGGGATATCATTGGGTCCCAGGACATATCCGGGACTATTCCTAATGGTTGGAGGGGCCTTTTAAGATGGAATGGCTTGGGACCAGGGGCCAGGTATCTAAATAAATCTCTCCTTCTGAATATACATGTTTGTAAGTCAAAATCTTAAGCCATTGTTAAGGAAGTTGGAGAGGGAC